ATGTAAGGAAATCCCTAGGCTACCAAGCATCATATAATCAGGCAATTCTATCATGCAATTTCTGAAGATCCCTAGTCTACTACTAGCATGATGTTCTAACATATCATAATATCAAATAACAGTGTGGTAATTTTGAGTCTACTTACTGGCTCCGGCTGATCGTACACATCGAATCCTCTCTATTTTGAAAATCATTTTTAAAACCTTTTCTTTTCCTTAGTTTGAGACTAGATTCACACGAGTGTTCCTCCAATTAACTCAAACCAAGGCTCTGATACCAGGTTGTAACATCCCAAAAAATCATAACAATTTAAAACTTTCAAAAACAACCCATAGTCATAAAATGTTTACAAAATCATTGTTTTCAAATTGTTTATCCATATCAGAGTATCCTAAAATCATAAAGCCATAAACAGAGGATGTGTACGGTCACACCTTCGCCTTCCCGCAATCATCAGAAGTACCTGAAACAAAAAACTAAAACCATAAGCCAAAGCTTAATAAATTCCCCCAAAGTACCAACACACAAACGGATAACATATACAATAGCATGTCGGGTCCATTCAACCATCAGGTTAGAATACCCATGGCCTAATCAACCTTCGGGTTCAGTCTTCCTCGGGATGGAATACCCCAGGCTAGAATGCCAATATAAAATGGTCCCCTCAGTCATCGGACTGGAATACCCTCAGGCCCTCAATACGAGTCTGGCATGCCAATCGACCCTCAGCTCGTATCTGGAATGCCCCCGAGCCCTCAGTATAAGTCTGGCATGCCGACCGACCCTCAACTTATATCTGGAATGATCCCAGGTTTTTTTTGGCTATAGCACAAAGCAGAACAACCTCAACCCAACACAATATGTCGACATATAACCAATAACAAACATATTCAACAAACAAATAATTATGGAGACAGAAATCACAGGTAGTCCTACAGATCTACCAGTCTATGTATATTAGCAACTAGCATATAATCATGCAGATCTATTCCATAATCAACATATCAATGTATAGGAGGATATCAATCCAATGGGTCGGCCTTGGTGCCTTAGACCCATGAGTACAGTGAGAAAAACTCACCTCTCAATCTGGATAATAACTGATGAGGTCCCGACTCCGAATCTCAACTCTAACCGTCACCAAATCAACCAAATGACCAATTCTCAAACACAAATCCAAAATACCCAAAATATCCTTTAAGTCAAACTTGGTCAACGTTGGTCAAAGTCAAAGTCAAAGTTAACGAGCCTTAATGAAAAATTTCTTTCCTCACGTTGTGACCATGCCTTGGTCACGTCGTGACAGTCCACTCGGTCCGATTCCCATTCGCCTCGGCCCAACCTAGTCAACTCAGTTAAAGAAAGCACCTGAACTGGCATCACGACGTGAGCACCATTCTCACGTCATGAGCTCTAATGATTCTAATAGAAGACGGGTAGTCTTCGAATCTCACGTCGTTATATCTTACATCTCACATCGTGAGCATAGTCTGAAGCTAAAAGTTTCCATTTTAAGCCCTTATTCCATTAAGACCTCGAATCCATCTCATCCGGAAGTTAAAGGGGACTCATAAGGTCCATAAAAATGTTTCCTTTATGGCCATGCATGCACCAACATGATCCAACCCCTTTCTAGGTTAAGAGTGAATAAATATGCTTCAAACTTTCATGCATGCCTCATATACCTCACCAAACTTCAGATCTGAGCAATATGATAGTCAAGGAACTCTTGGAATCCATAAAGTTGCAAACTTTATGGATTTACCTCACTCAATCATGCAATAACATGAATAAAAGGGACAAAACCCTAGATCTACCCATAATATGAAATAATGTTGGAGCCTTTGATACTTACAAAGGTCTAAAAGCAGGAAGGGATGATGATGATGATGATGATACTTTGCCCACTCTACCAGTAGAGTACTTTTTTCCTCTTCTTCAAGCTAGAATTCACCAAAATAGCTAAGGATCTTAAGTAGGAATATGATTAGAGTTTCTGAAGGCATAGAGAGTGAGAGAGGCTGAGGGTGGGCAACCTTAGCCCTCTTATTGCCTTAAATATCAAAAAACTTAGGTTTTGGTCATCAGCCGCTCTCATGTCGTGAGCATTGGACTGCTCACATCATGAGCCTTAAAATGATGCATGGGTCCAAATCACTCCTCACGACGTGAGCACGCATTCCTCATGTCATGAGAAGGGACAATATTGAAAATTTTAACTTCACAATAATAATAATAATAATAATAATAATAATAATAATAATAATAATAATAATAATAATAATAATAATAATAATGTGCACCTGATCCGAGTGTTACATTCAATTTCGAAATTTGTTTTATTTCTTATCTATTTGATTTCTCTTTTTCTAATTTCTTCTATATTTGAATACAGTAGAAAAAGAGTGAAAGTCTCAAAGACTTACTGGATTTGTGTATCTGATTTATCCAATGTTTGACCTTCGATTTCTCTTCTATTTGTGCTCGATATAATCTGTTCCAAAAATCATATTTGGGTAACAGGCAACTTTAATTTTGAAATCTGCTTTATTTCTTATCCATTTGATTTCTCTCTATCTCATTTCTTCTATATTTGATTAAGTAAAAGAGTGTCAAAGTCTCAAAGACTAATTGGATTTGTGTATCTGATATCTCCAATGTCTGACCTCCGATTTCTCCTCTATTTGTGGTCGATATATGTTGTTCCAGAAATCAAATTTGGGTAATATGCAAGTTCAATTTCGAAATTTGTTTTATTTCTTATCCATTTGATTTCTCCCTGTTTGGTTTCTTTTATATTTGATTACTGTAGAAAAGAGTCAAAGTTTCAAAGAAATATTTGATTTTTGTATCTGATTTCTCCTGTATTTGACCTCCGATTTCTCATATATTTGTGCTCGATATCTGTTGTTCTAGAAATCAAATTTGGGTAAGTTTAATTTCGATATCTGTTTATTTAGGTTTGTTTCCGAATTCAGAAATTTGTGTTTCTAAAGTTTTGTGTTCTTGTTTATGTCATGTGAAACAGGAGCCATACTTCCTTTTATTTTGAATCTTATATTTGGACTTCTAGAGGCTTTATTACAAAATTGAAGCTCTTGAAATCGTATCTACGAACTACTATGAATCAAGAAAGATTGAATGGATTAGCAATTTAAGTATCGAAAGTGATTTTTTACAAATTATTGATTGATGTAAAATAAAAGATGATTTCGCTTCAAAAAATGCACGGAAATATTGTTTTTAGGTGATTTTTGTAGGTTTTTGTTTGTACTATTTATATGATAATTTCCTGCATTTTCGATTTTATAAATCTTTTATATATATGTTTTCTCTATTTGTACGGTACATATATAAGGGCATAAAATTTTTAACTTGCCCCGGGTAGTAAAAAACAATGGACTGGTCCTAGTCATGATAGTGAATAACTCTTTAGTAATTCTTGTTTTGCATGAGAATACAAACAACTAGCTTACACATATTAATGTGTCAATAATTGAAGTATGAATCAACGTTTATGAACTACATGAAGCTCGCAGCGATAATTACAAAGGATCTTCTATAACCATTTCTTTCTTTCTTTTGATCGGTTATCTACACAATTAACATCGTAACATCGAGACAAAGTGTCAAAAAGTATTACATACAATCTCAATGTTTAAAAGATGATGATCTATACCGGTGTATTAAAATTATTAATTTGTATATCTATTTTCATAGTACACATATATATGAGTTGTATATATTCTACATTATATTTCTACTTTATAATAGTATAAATTTATAAGGTCATATGTTATACCCATCATAACCACTATAGTGGTGAGTGCCACATCATCAACATACTCCCTACCACTAACCATGAGATACCTACCACTAAACACACCACTCCATCTCTTTTTTTTAATTAAATTTAATTCAAAAATACAATGAAAATACAATGAAAACATATTTTTTTAAACTAGTTTTTTATTCAATAAAAAAACATTACGTTAATTTAAAAAACAACTTAAAATAAAATAGAAAAAAAAAACCATAAAAATACAAACACAAACAACTTAAACTAATTTTTTAAACCCCATTTTTTAAGCAATCTATTTTGGAGAATCCTTAAATTTTAGTCAAGCTTTGAGATGTGTAAATGGTTTGTGGTTTATGTCTTTGTATTCATGCATGTCTTTATGTCTTTGGCGAACTCGCAATATTTTACCCTTATATCATGATACTTGGAACATATTTCATCAAGCTACTGCTAACTTCTCTTCTTCCTCTTCCGATCAATTCCACATTTTGGGAGTCATGGTTTTTGAAAGATCAAGAAACACAAGTGTGTGATTGTGAGAGAAGAATTGTGTGAGATAGAAGAAGGTGTATTGTGGTATTTATATAGTAGATTTATAATGATTGTTTATTTAGGTAAAATTTAAAAAAAAAAAAAAAACACCCTAAACTAGGGGTTAGAAGCATTAAATTGCAAATCAAATTCAATTGGCCGATGCTCTCCGTTGTATACACCACGAACACGGAGGACCACGACTCCTCGGGGTGGTGTGCACGGTGGTTTTCTATGGCCACGTATACCACGGACTCATACGTGCTTTGTATACCGTTTGGTCTAATATGAAGTTATTATACATAATAAAAAGGTGAAATATATAACTAATAATCTTAAATATCATTGTTAAATTATTCTTTACTTTTTACGTATATACCTATTTCTAAAACAATGAATATATTAAACAAATTTGATAAACATATTTAATAATGTCAATGGTATTTGTTTTTTGTTTTTTTTTAACTTTATAACTATATCCACAACTGTAACATCACTTTGAACAATATACTTTCACATTTTAGAAAAGTTGTGTTGCATATTTTGCCCATCAAATTTGTTTTATTAACCAAACAAATAGTAAAACCAAAAAGTACCCATAGGATGAATTCACATCCTTAAACGCCTCACAACAACTCAAAAACATGCCAACCAAAAAAAAAAATATCAATTACCCGCACATCGCAACTCTCTATCTGCATTCTCCTTAATCCGCCTCTCAAGCTCCGGCCTAAAATGGCGGATAAGACCTTGCACCGGCCACGCCGCCGCATCACCAAGCGCACAAATTGTATGCCCTTCAATCTGCTTCGTCAACTCATAAAGCATATCCACTTCCTCCATTTTCGCATTCCCGACCTTCATCCGCTCCATCATCATCCACAACCACGTCGTCCCCTCCCTACACGGCGTACATTGGCCGCAGCTCTCATGCTTATAAAAATACGCCAACCGTGCAATCGCATCCACGATATCCGTAGACTTATCCATCACAATCACCGCCGCCGTTCCCAGCCCAGACCCCACATCTTTCAGTGCATCAAAATCCATCAACACATCATCACACACCGTTTTTGGAATCAACGCCACCGAGGAACCACCGGGGATCACCGCAAGTAAGTTATCCCAACCACCTCGAACACCACCGCAATGCCGCTCTAGCAACTCTTTTAACGGGATACTCATCTCCTCTTCGACTGTGCATGGTTTGTTTACATGACCGGAGATACAAAACAATTTCGTCCCGGAATTATTCTTCCTCCCGAAACTCGCGAACCATTCCGGGCCACGTCTGAGAATCGTCGGAGCAACGGCGACCGTTTCCACGTTTGTGACAGTCGTTGGACATCCGTAAAGACCGGTGTTCGCCGGAAACGGAGGTTTCAATCTGGGTTTCCCTTGTTTCCCTTCGAGACTTTCAAGAAGTGCAGTTTCTTCACCGCAGATGTAGGCTCCAGCACCGAAAGCTATATGAACATCGAAATCGTATCCTGAACCACAAGCGTTTTTTCCTAATAAACCGGCGGAGTAAGCTTCGATTCTTGCCTTCTCGAGGCTGAGTCGTTCGTTAACGTATTCTCCCCGGATGTAGATGTAGGCGGCGCATGCTCTCATCCCTACTCCGGCGATTAAACACCCTTCAAGTAGTTTATGAGGATCATGTCGCATGATTTCTCGATCTTTGCAGGTTCCTGGTTCACTTTCGTCTGCGTTGATTACAAGATAGGATGGTCGGCCATCGGAGGCTTTTGGCATGAACGACCATTTGAGCCCCGCCGGAAAACCAGCTCCACCGCGACCACGTAAACCGGATTTCTTGATTTCTTCAACGATCCAATCGGTGCCTTTGTGTATTAGATCTTTGGTTCTATGCCAATCACCACGTTTTCTGGCGGATTTGAGGTAAGGGTCGTGTACACCGTAGAGGTTGGTGAAGATGCGATCTGAATCGTTTAAGTTGCCGAAGTGGGATTTTTCCGGTGGTGGTTGTACGGTGGTGAAAAGACGAGTTCCCAGCATGGAACTCCCATTGTGATGCCATGTTGAAGAAGCTCTTTGTAGAGAAAGATTAATCCTCCTCATGAATTAAATCAAAAATTGCTAAGAAAATTAAAAGAATTTAGAAAAAAGAATGTGGTTCTGAAACATAAATTTCCCGGCGATGAGCATATCCATGCATGATTGAATGTATTTGCAAAATGATAATGATCAGTCACTGATCCGATTTTCATGACGAAGGTTTGCAAGGAAGGCAATGAATTAGTCAATATCATTTTACTATAACCAAATGAGACCAACTTTTGTTGAATAATTAGATTATGAACTCGATGGGTCAAATGTTATCAAGTTCTCGAAATTAAATTAAATTTGTAGTAACTTGATTTGCATTTCAATACATTTTGAATCGAGTTTTTTATTTTTATGAAAAGTAAATTTGATAAATCTATTACAAGACCGGATGATATGAGTAGAAACTCCCCTCACTTTTTATGGGCCACAACATTATTTCCCTCACTTTCCTTTTTCTCATCTAAACCCATGGAGGTGAGAAGCTTCCCTCGCTATTTTGTTTTTTTATTTTTTTAAATAAAATTAATTCTTTTTTATGATTTATTATTTTTAAATTAATAATAAATATAAATTTTAATTAAAAATAAAAAACATTTTGTTAATTAAAATAAAAATTACATTAAACCGAATATTTAAATAAGTAGAAAAAAAAAACACAAACAAAAAATCAAACAAACCACAACATAGAAAACATAATTAATATCCTAATTTTTTAAAAAAAACCAAAATATGTCATGCGAATTCATCTTCCTCGTCATTGACCTCATCGTCTTCATCATTCTCATGAACGTCACTCTCGTTATCGGAATCTTCGCTCTCGACGAACATATCAGAATCCTCGTCTGATTGGTCAAACAAATCATCGTGACAAAACTCCTATAAACATGCTCCACCAAATCAGCACGAAGGGAGTTCTGAATGTCGTGATTGTGTACTTCTCTTCTATTTGCCCTATACTCTTGTGTACCAACGGCTACTCCTTCGACATTTGGTAAAACTTCATTTTCGTTGTACTGACATATCGCTCTTCCTTCGTCTTCAAGAATCATATTATGCAATATGATACATACATACATTACGTGTTGTAACCTTTTCACTTCATATGACCTTGCCCCGACTGCTAGTACTTGCCAACGTCTCTTAAGTACACCAAATGTTCGCTCCACATCCTTCCTAGCTGACTCTTGCGCCTCTTTAAACTTTTTCATTTTTGGGTAGTTAGGACATGTAAACGATTTCACAAAAATAGACAAGGGAGGATACATATCGTCAGTAAGATAGTATCCACGCTTATATGCTACCCCGTTTGCTTGAAAAGGTACATCATGCAACTTTCCAAGGTAGATATCGTTGAATACCGGCGACTGGTCTAGCACATTGATGCCATTGTTTGCACCAGCTGGACCAAAGAATGCATGTCATATCCAAAAATCATGTGGTGCGATAGCCTCTAGAATGATTGTCGGCTCTTTGTGGTCGCCTCTTATGTACTGACCACGCCATGCGTTGGAGCATAATAACCAACTCTAATGCATGCAATCGATACTACATAACATTCCAAGGAATCCATGCTTGCCTTCATGCACCGTGTACAATTTGTGGATATCGTTCATAGTTGGTTTACGCAGATATCGTTGTCCATAAACCAAAAGATCGCTTCGCAAAACTTGTACACACACTCCCGCACGGTACACTCTGACATCCTAAAATACTCGTCTCATTTGTCTACGCTCATGTCGTATGCTAACTGACGAATTGCAGACGTGCATTTTTGAATTGGAAAGAAACATTTTATCCGTCTCGCATTCATTTTCCATTGGAAATATGGAAAACGACCTTACAAATCGCAAACAATACATAAAAATAGTTCATTCCTCATCTGGAACCGACGTCGAAACTTTACAGCGTAGATGACGTCATCTGCAAAGTAGTCTTCTATAAGACGATCGTGTCCGGCTTCGCGATTTCTACGCAACGGCGGCTTTCTTGGTTTAGATCGTGCACGTGATGTTTCGCCTTGTCGTTTTTGAAAGTATGCAACCGTTTTCACCATGACGGAACCGATAAACTTAGCCTCCTCTTGAGCCGTCGAATCGGATGATGTAGATGATGACATTTTGATTAATATTTTTTGGAGAGAGTAAGAAGGTATGGGTTAAAAAATTGTTTAGATGTTGTGGTATTTATAGTGGGGGAATAGAAAAAAAAAATTATATATATATATATATATATATATATATATATATATATATATATATATATTAACGTTATCTAGCCGTTGGAACAAAAAAATATAAATAAATAAATAATCAGCCAATCGGAAGAGGAGTGAGAACGTGGCAGCCACACCCCCCACCCTCCTCCCCGCGCCACCCTTCCTGCACCGCCGATGCGGTGTTCATCGGAGCGGGATGCTTCCCGCAGGCATTCCCGCGCCCGGCTCCGTCCGGCCTAATAAATGAAGATAACTTTGTCATATGTCAATATGCAATAAGTTTTGACACTTGTCATGATAGTTTTTAAATAAATAATATCCACATGTCAATTTATGGTTTTTTTTCAATTTTTAAAATTAAAAAGCCACATAATACTTATGCTTATATATATAATGTATTAAATATAATATATATGATAGTAAATTGCAATTTATATGTTTCTTAATTCCTTATATTAAAATTTTATTTTAAAAAATACTTATTGTTTATATTTCAATATTTTATTTTTTTTTAATCAACCCATGCAATAAATACATGGGTTTTACACCTAGTGTTTAACATATTAAAATCTTTGACTTAAGCTTGTTCTTTCAAGCATATAGCAAAATTCAAAAAGAGTCGGTAAACAATTAACAGACACTACAAGAATAACACCATTAGCGGCGACAACCCTTTTTAGCGACGAAATACGCCTTCCGTGTTGTATGTTGCCGCTAATTGTGAAAAACCATGATCCGTGTTGATTTGGTCCTACTCCAACAGCTCACAATAGACGTCGTACATAGCAATAGCGGCGAAGCCTTTTGCGGTGATGGCTGCCGCCGTTGATACTAAAAAAAAGATCTGGATAAATTCCCTCTAAAACTCGTCACTGCTAATAAGCTTTTGTCGTCGCTGATATATCTTTGTCGCCGCTAATACATGTCGCCGCTAAAGGCTTGACGGGATATACACAACACACAACTGATTTCCTTTCCTCTCCCGCCTTTGTTTTTCTCTGACGATTCCACCGGCAAATACCAACACAATCCATCCATTTCGTTGGCTCGTACTCAAGTTCCGTCAATTTCGTCGAAGATTCATATCACCGCGCGATGAGGAATCGTATTACCAGCGACGAGGAAGTAAAATCGGCAACCACATGTGGGTTTTTTCCTTCTTCTCCATTGATTTTGTTTTCATTTTCTTCTCCCACTAATTTAAGAGTCGGATTGTTGCAGACCTTGTAGATTTTTGCAACCTCTAGCAGGTTTTCTTGTTTTCTGCCGGAATTTGGTTGGAAAGTTGTCGGAATACCGCCACCACCACCCTTCTCCGTCGGATTACACAACCAGGTTCCTTTATAACATATGTATTTGTGTATTTATATTATGAGTATGTACATATGTATTTGTATGTGTTTTTGTATGTATAATGTATGTATATGTGTAATGTATGTATAAATGCATGTATTTATGGTGAAAACAGAAAAATTAGGTATGTTTATATATGTGTATTTGTTTGCCATATGTATATATGTATTTGTATGTATAAGTGTATATGTTTATATATGTAAATTTGTTTACCATTTGTGATTGTAATGTATGTATAAGTGTATTTTAATATGTTAATTTTTATATATAGATGTGTATTATGTATAAGTCTATATGTTTATATTTATATATGTATAACTGTATGTATATGTATGATCACCTAACTTGTGTATTTGTATGCAATTTCAAAAGTATAATGCTATAAAGGAAAGTGCATTTGTATGTATATGTAATATGTGTATTTATATGTATTGTATGCAATTTGGAAACTACAATGTTACAATGAAAAAAATGAAAAAAAACAAAACAAAACAAAGTATGATGCTATAATGGAAAGTATTATTTTTTATATGTGTATTTGTATGTATAGAAAATTATATATGTAGTTTGTGTATTTGTATGCAATTTGGAAACTATAATGTTATAGATGAAAAACATAAAGTAGAATGCTATAATGGAACGTATTATTTTTGTATATGTATTTGTATGCAATTTGGAAACTACAATGCTATAATGAAAAAAAATGAAAAAAAAAGTAACAAAGTAGGATGCTATAATAGAAAGTGTATTATTGTATATGCAATATGTGGAACTTTTATTCATATTGTAATTTTGCAGGTTATATATGGGTTTAGTTGGGCGATACTCTTCTACATGATGGCGGATGTTATGGGCCTAGGACATGGACGTTATGGAGTCGGGGATCTACCACCTCTAGTAGGCTTTGGTCGTGGACAACGCAAACAGGATGGTAAGTCTTATTATGATATATTTATTATCTATTTTTATTCATTTATTATAAGCTATCGTGACTAATATTTTTAATTATATTTTTCAGTTGAGCTTCCTAAAAGAAGAAGAGTTCTATCAAAAAACATTCAGCTATCAAAGCTGATACGGGCAAACAAGGGAAAGCCCGTGGATTTAGATTTCGACAGGGAGCTCACATATTCACCTGTCGGGAACCGTGGTAATTGGTTTACCCGTGAGATTGTGAGGTATATGTGGATGAACATCCCTTCGAATGTATCTGGTTGGGACAATGTTTCCCCCGCTTTAAAGAATGCCATAGTCGTGCATCTAAAGGTAACTTGGATAATATTTTAAGTTTAGTTGTGATTGGTATTTAATTAACTAACTTTTTTGTATTTTTAGAATAAGTTTGATTTGCATAAGGTTAACTTGGATCCCGAGCGTGCTTAGTTGTTGCAGAAATACTTCGATTCACGTGATTTCCAATTTAACAATAAAAATTAGATTAATT